TTTTTCCATTAAAATATAGATGCACATCAATGTGAAAAATAATATAATGTCACAATTAGGTAGATGCTAATCTATGAATTAACTGGACTATAATTCAGAGGCATTCTGACAGGTTCATAAACCTTGGAACTTACCACCTTGTAAGGCATCATTTGTCGCCGACAAGGAATGGATGTTTCCTGCGGATTGGTTACATGTATATTTGGATTAAGGATGTGATATTGAGCTGACATACGCACACATATATATAAATATGGTAGAATGTGAAGGAGTGATTCTACCCCTCTATTAAGATGGAGCAATGTTAATATGATGTCGACCTGCTTGTTGATAATTTGCTGCCACATATACTCAATATGAATGATAACGTTTTAGGAGGAAGCATTATGCTCAATTCATATTGACAGATTAAACAAGTTAAATAATCAATAAAAAGTTGGCAATGCTGTCCTTTCCCGACAGAGGATGCTAATATATTTCATATGTATGGCACAGATTATCAATCAACCACGCTCCAATCATAAAAGCTTCACCACAATGAGAAATTAAATATTAATAACAAAACAAAATATTCAGATTGCTTTAATGATATATCACCATATACAAATGTATATATATTTAAAGTTTTTTTTTAGTTTTTTTTTTACATTTAATCAATATATCCAACTAAACTAATTCTGAAGCTATAATGTGTCTAATGAAATATTTGCTATGTTATTACTTTGGTTGTGTTTTTCATGTTGAACGGCTTCATTGATAGAAAGAAAATGCCAACGAATGTTTTGTTGTGAGATTTATTTAGAAGATTCGTTTAAATCTCAGAAGTAATGCTGAGCATTCAAATCAAATATCTTAATCAATATGATTATTTTACCTTGCAGGTTTTTCCCAAAGAAGGGAGTGTGACTCGTGGGGATATATCATCTAATCTGTTTTAATGGCGTGTTCAAAATGTCCTTTAATGCGCCAGGCCTCCCTCAAAAAATATAGGAACCTGAAAGTATTGCCCGTAGGTAAATGTTACCACGCTACCTTCATCCATGATCATTCGTTACGTTGCAAGGCCTGGGTTCATACAGCCACCACAGAACTTACCAAAGAGGGATTCAGATGTTTCGACCTCGCTCGTGATAGTATTCCAAAGCTTTCAGCCCAAAAACAGAAAATCGAGGCGTTTAAACGATCAAAGACAGTGATAGTCCTGCTCACGGAAAAATGTTTAAAAAATCGAACATTCCAACGGGATCTGGACATGCTCACGGCCGACAATATATTAAACAATGATGGGAATTTGCATGAGAAAATTTTACCGCTCTGGTTGGATATTGTTAAACTCCCCGACTCATTATCATATGTGCAGCCACTGGATGCCAGCTCATCACGTGACATCTGGTGGGATAGACTTGTTTGCGCCATTGATTTTGATAGGGTAGATAACATTACCTCTGATGCAGACGATGACCTACTTATCAATCCTGTTTGTGAAGAAATTGAACAGATGGCAAATAAACTGAGACTTCTTGGCAGCCGGCAAATTTCAAGTCTGCTGCTCAGACCTGTATTTCTGGAGTTGTATCACTTTCTGGCTCAATGCGCCGACGAACGCGTTCTTCTGGCTGTGATGGAATCAAACGGAGTGTACATTGTAGACAGAGGCAAATATCCAGTGGGGCTTAGGTGTGCCTTGGAGTCCTGTGACCAAGATATGGACAATGACCAACTTAGATACATGTATAAGCGCGATGCGCCGAGCGGAGCTTGGATGCATCTCGACACAAGTTTCGGCAAGTGGAAAAGAATTGAAATAAACATGTGCATGCTGTGGAACCTTCCAGACAACTGTTACACGGAAACCATTTTTGTGAAAATACCTCAGGTGCGAGATATGGTATTTGTTGTACACGCAGACTTCAAACAACAAATTGTATCGGATCCCCAGACGTGTGAACAATGCCGCTATTCCCGAGGTGAATCACAGTACATTGAATACAAAGAGGAGGAGTGCCTAACTCTTATCCTCGAGAAGAGAGTTGGGAAGCATGCCTATGCATACTACTTTGTACCTTTCTGTGGACCTGACAAAGACGCCTTGGATGACGCCAAAGTGATGTTAAATCTGTGACGTACATTACATATTAAATTCTGTAAAACAAAGCCCTGTGATCGCTTCCTCAAGACTCGCCACTTACTCTGCTTCAATTTTAATTGAGTTTATTTGCACAACAAAAGGACTGCCATTTTGTATGTGTGCGTGAGATTAATGGTAGCCCTTCCAAACGCACTTTTCTTGGTTGCTTGGCTTATTCTTGTAGTTGGAAAGAGAGAAAGATACTCTTTCATACCCAAGTGTATAGGATAGGGAAATTCCATCAGAGGGTTTTGCCAAATTTGAAAATTCCGATGGTGGAATTTCCTTATCCTAAGCCCCTGGACATGAAAGAGTCCTATAATTTTATATAGCATAGTGATCTGTGATCACTTTATCGAAGAACGTATCTTACGGAGTTTTGATTTGAATCAAACAAACTTTTGTTTTTGCACAAGACAAGTACTGTCATTTTGTTTTTAAATGCCATTTCAGACAATGATACGAAAGTGAATTTGTACAAAGGAAGATGAGTATGTGTTTTATTTTAGATACGAACAATGGATAAGAGAAATAATATCGAAGATCTGTTTTGGTTGTTGGCTTTCAGTATCGCAATTGTTTATTGCAAAGGTTCCTTCAAGTGTTCAGGAATTTTAAAAGTTCATAGAACGGAGCATTGCTAACCCAGTCATATTCGTGTACATAACACTTGTTTGAAAGTTAATTGGTGGACTGACCAAGTGGCGGCTGAATACTGGAACAATCGGATAAGTAGTAGCGGAATATTAGCTCAGCGAAACTGTAACTTTACTAGATTGATATAAGGTCATATATACAGCGCGTGATAATGGTACACATTTTATACCTTTGGTTGCTTGTTGTTCCAGTAAATACGTAGTTTTTCTTCATTTCACTGATACAAAAATACTTTCTTAATGTTCATAAGTAATGAACATATTAACAAAGTTCACATCAACATAAAAAAACAAAATATGTTTCCAAAGGCGAATAGCTCATGTAAGATTTTCAACATCATTTTTTTTTATTAGTAAAAAATGTATTTCAGAACTATTTTGATTACAAATTTAAAATTGATGTTGTATCTTTAATTTTTTTTCAGAGACTCGTTGCATATATTTCACTTGTATGGCTAAATACTACTTAGACAAAGTGTATTCTGTACTAGATATTCTGTTATACAATGAGCACAAATATTATGTACTATAAATATCCTACACTGCTAGTCTTTTGGTATAAATATTTATGCTATACTACATGTATTCTATTCAACATATATTCTGTACTGTAAGTATTCTCAACTACTATAAACATGTATTCATTCTGTTTCACAGGTATGCTGTCCAAAAGCTATTCTGTTCAAAATATAGATATTTCATACGATATGTATTCCTTATTATATACTATAGGTATTTTGCCACATTCTTGAAATATGTATATGTATTATATCAAATGGGCAACATTAAATAAAATTGCTTTTCACCAGCATTTGCACGCTACTTGCATTACAATAAATTCTTATGATATAAATAAATTTCATACTTATATCATAAGAAGTTATAAACATAACTATATACAAGCCATCAGCCTCATTCATAACTCATTAATTATTTCCTCTCTATGATCTGTATCCGGCGCGGATGTGTGCTCTTAGGAATTGTTGATAAGTGTACCTTAAGGAGAATGGCATACTTAACGACCTTATCATACTGCTGACGTTAATTATAAGTTGGATTTTGTCTTCAACAAAATATCTTATTCCTATATCCTCTCTCACACACGACTTGAACTTTTTGCATCAGTGTTTAATATGTTTTTTGTTATACAGATTACTTCGAAAACTTCGTAATAATGTATTTGTACAATATTTTACTTTCAGGTAATGAATTTCTTACTGTCGCGGCAGATTTTTTCTGCAGTAATGATTCAAATAACTTCCTCTGTTGAAATCTTAATTTTCGAACAAATATCTGGAGGTATTTAAAACAGTGATGCAACCCTCTTTGCAAATATGTATATCTCGCCATATGTAAACGATTCAAAGAATCCGTTTTTATTACTTGTGTACAAGTAGTTCCGCACTTTACGTGATGTTGTATTACTTTAGGAAACATACACATATATAAACCATGTGTTGTGTTGTTGAGGAGGCACGGTAGTCTAGTGGTAGGACGCCGAGCTCGTGACCGAAGGGCTGCGTGTTAGAATCACGGCACGGCACTGTGTTGTATCTTTGAGCAAGAAACGTTACTCCGCTTGTTCCAGTCTACTCAGCTGTAAATGAGTACGTGTTGGGCAGTGCTAGAATTGTAGAATGCTAGCTGTAAGCGCCGAAATGACAACACCGGCTGTATGCTCCCGAGGGAGTTGAGAAAGATATTGGCTGGTTGCAAAAGCCCTATATGCACGGATACTAATTTGTGGACCGCTTTAAGACGACCTACGAATTGAACTAGGTTATGATAAAGTGGTATAACGAACACTGTTGATATATGGTATAAACTATACCTCTAGAACCTTCCAAACAGTCTCAGCAAGAGCGAACGATCATATCATGTACATATTTTGTTCCAAAGTGTTGGCGCACTTTGTTGTGCCTTTACAATATATTAAAGATGTGTTTTTATATAAAAAAGACTTATCGTTTATTTAAATAAGAAATTGTAATGATTAAGATTCACACGTTTCATTTTGTAACAGTCTATTAGTAAACCGTCTATAAATTAATTCACGAAACATGACTATTAATTCACAACACGTAAAATGTGTCGTGATGACAAACGTATGTTTAACTTAGCTTTAAAGCATTCATTACCTATGTATGAATTTTAAACAAATACAGACAACCTCATTTGTAAAACGTTTAATTTAAACTAAATTTTTGCAGCAATATTTTCATAGTCTATCAGAAATTATGTTTGAATCACTTCAAAACAGTTAAAATATTGAATATGAAACTTAAGTCGGTAACAATGACACCTACTGTACTGTTAAACTAAAACTAAAACATAAATTAACTTTTTAGAATAATAGGATTACTTTATGTTCTGTTAATACATCGACCATATTTTTTTTTTATTAACCGGTGTAATGCTATTATAATTATGCGCAATTTTTTTCTGACGCGCTAGATCAGAACAGTTATGAAGTAATGCCTACGATATACCTACATTACCTAGCAATAGCTAACCTCGCAATTAATTGTGTGTACACTAAAAAAAGGTTATAATAAACCTCATCCAGGGATTACGCTCACTTTCGCTCTCTACACCCCTGTAATATGTCATAGCAAAATTGAAGGCTCGGTGTGCGCCACCTTGTTGATGAGACAAGAAGACTAGTTCGATCCTTTGATATACATCAACAGAATCTCGCGGTCACGTAACGGTAAAAGTTGCCAGGCGTTGCAGTCGGACGTCTATCCTTCGTAATCTTCAAAGGACAGGTATCAGCCTAGCGATTGGTCAGTTTTATTTTTACCTGAGACCAATCAAACAGCTATCTTCGTGCCTTCAATCTTGCTATGACATACAAATGTATTCCAGGGGTGTAGAGAGCGAAAGTGAGCGTAACCCCTGGATATCGAGGATGGTATTACAGATAAAATACGTTATTCAAGTGCTAATATCACTCTTCATGATTTTGATGAATACAGTTCGTTTGGTAAACCTGCCTGAACAATATTGTCATCTGATGCTGATGACATGGTCTGTGCGGTAATATCGCAGTATGAAGATATCACTATGGAAAAACCTTATTTCTACGTGTCATTTTAATACTATGGAAAGATATAGACAAGGTTCCATCTGTAATTGCTATGTACACGTTGTAAGCGGGTAAGACCGTACAGCCTGGGGGTAGGGGCTCTATATCTAAACATACAAATTAATGCTATAGGTTTTATTGTAACTGTTTTAATGTTAATGGTTAGGTATCTCCCCCTGATTTGAGCAGTTTGTTAAGCGTTCCATAGACATCACCTTAGAATGTGTCAAAATGTTTGTTATACCTGATTTTGTCAATGCCTGAACCAATCCCTATCATAAATGATAGATTTAAATCCCAACACCTCATTCACACAATAATTGGTGCCAAAACACATTTTAATTTAGACTCTGATTTCGGTGATAAGTCTGATACTTCACATAAAACTATACCAAAACTACCTCCTCAGTTGGTGGAATCTGTGGTTTATCGCTTTCACTATAACATAGACATTGTTTTTTTTGTGGTTGTGTTCGAGTCTGCATTCGTTACAAAATGTTCTCGCTTTGGGAAATTGCATCGAGTGAAAGTGCCATTGTCTGTATTTCTACAATTATTGGTTGAGGAAGCCATTATCGAGTCACTATGGTCCTCATGCACTGGCGTACAGTGACGTAGTTATACTTGTTGCGACGTCACACAAATTGTGTACACATCTGTTCTTTGTAAATATCAATTTGTACTGAATCCGGATTAGTTAAGGACCATCTAATGACTGGCAGTGTGTACTGTCGACCCATTGGTCTTTACGGAATAAGGGTTGAAACGTCGGAAGACTGATGTCTACGGCTGACGATGTCAATAGATTAATAGTATTACCATATTACAAATGTAGTATTGTTGTACGACATCTCCTCTCAACCTTTTATATTCTAAACTGGGGAAGCCCAGTATGCATGTGGCATATTCCAAATGTGACTGCTCTATACTCTTGAACAATTGGAAAAACATGTTTTTGTTTATAAATGTGAAGGTCCGAAATATCAGTCAGCGGATTCTGTTGGCGTACGAGACACACTCTTTGACATGCTCACTAAAATTTAGTTTATGGTAAAATACTTCTCCCAAATCCCTTTCTTTGATCACTTTATCAATGTTTACTTCATTTAGTTCATTTTTTTTGTTGTATAAGCTGAGTCTATGGTTTGATTTCATACTGAAATGTGTTTACATTTTTTTTGCATTTAGTTTCATGTTCCAATCTTTTGTCAAGTCACATAATCTGTGGATATCGTCCTGGAGAGTATTCTTATCATCGTCATTCGAAATTCCGGAGTATAACTTGGTATCATTAGCAAATGATTTAACTGTTCCTGTTATTGGACATTTCTGCATTGATCACCACCTTCATCCTGCTTAGATATTTTTTTATCCATTGGAGTAGCTTCCCCTGAATCCCATATTGTTTTAATTTAAACAACAGCCGTTTGTGAGGGACAGTCTCAAATGCTATGCTAAAGTCAAGGTGTATAATATCTATCTGTTGTATATTGTTTATTTGTTCAGACCAATCTTCAAGAACCTCTAGCAGCTGGGTTTTTCCCTTGGTGAATCCATATTGACACTTGGAGAAAAGATTGTTGGTATCCATATGTTCCCCAATGGCATCCTTGATAATTCTTTGCATTAATTTTCCTATAATTGATGTTAAACTGATTGGTCTGTAGTTTTCTGGGTTGGTTTTTGATCCAGATTTATGACGGGGGTCATAATGGCATTTTTCTAATCCTAGGGTAATTTACCCTCATTGAAACAAAAGGATGACAGAACAATAAGCATCCCCTCCTTAAATGTGTGACAGAGAAATCAACAAATAAAATCAACCCTTGGGCTTGAGATTTGTCAAAACATCAAGGCGGGGAACGGCTCTTCTAGTCACATGCTAAGTGACATATGTCTGTTAATATAATATCTTAACCTTTCTAGCAACATAGATTGCCTGCAGTGTTACGCATGCCCTGTCCTTCAGTGACGTCAAGCTAGGGAATTGGTCAGGCATGTTCATGTCAATATTTAAACTTAAGTGAAATAGTGAACTCCCTGTTATGTGCTCGCCTGTCCTGTAGTGACAATACTGAAGCGTTGATTGTGACCTTGATAATATTGTTTTTCGGCGTTGAAGACGAAGGACACACACGGCGGATGTCGTCGACAGTGGGTTGCACATGCTTCCGGATGTCTTGCTTTAACGGTCCACTCGATTCCTAATGTCATGACAATGTTCTTGAATATCGGTAACATTTGTCAGTGCTGAGCACCTAAAAATAGACCATATAATAGCACATATTCTTTATCACATTAG